GATGCTGTTCTGTTGTTCTTTGTTGTCGTTTTTAAGTTCCTCCATCTTGGTCCTGCAGCCCATCACTGTTTTTTCTTCCCCATCCCTCTGCCCTGCTGCTCCTCATCCTTGTCTCTTTCCTTTTCCCTTTGCTTTGCCTGTCCTGCCCCTCTCTCTTGCTCTGCCCCTGTCCTTTCTCCTGTCCCTGCTTCTTCTGATTCCCTTTCTGCCTCAGTGCCCATCACTATTCCCCATTTTCTTCACTTTCTGCTCATCCTGCCCGTCAATAAACACCAGCACCCTCTCCAGGCATCAGTAAAAGGTGCAAATATGCAGGGAACAACCAAGTATTTTCTGTTAACTTTTCTCTGACAGAAGCCTTGAAAGAGATCCCACGAGGTGAAGTGCAAAGGCAGGGTGAGACGCAGTCAGCCCAGAGCAAATGCGCTGCTCATAAGACAGACGAGAGGAAAAAACAGGCAAGGCGTGTGGGAGGCAGGGCTGACGGACCAGTGGCTGCCCTTCCTGTGGCTCTTTCTTTTCACTTCTTCCTGATCAATGTATTTTTTTTTTTTTAACTAAAACTGCCTTATTTCCAAATAATGGAGTTATTTAATAAACTCTTTAAAAATCTTTCTTTTTCCTGTTTTGGCAATGTGTTTCTTTCTGTGTGTTTTTACTCTTCATGTCTTCATTCAGGAGAAAATAGTGTTACACAGAATGTTTATTGTTTGGAACAATGTCTTAACTGTCCATTTTAAATGGATTTCCATCCTGTTCAGCTTGTCATAGTGGGATCTGAAATATAGGAGGAAATTCCTGTGGTATTTTCCTACAGGAAATAATAGGTTCCTGGTATGTAGCCTCATTTTCTAAATATGTTTTTTAAACTCTAATGTGTATGCATTTGTTTTCCTACCACTATCTTTGCGTGCGACTTGGGAGATCTGACATTCATGTTCTTCATGTATCAGTGCATTAAAACCATCTCTTATATCAACAAAATTTCTATGGTCTGAACAGAGACTGTGGCACTTGGCTGGAGTTGTGTTGCTCATTGCTGAAACAAATTCTGTTGTATGTGGCTGTGCCAGGCAGGCCTGCTCTGTTGGCTTAATCTTGCAGTGCTGAAAGCGGTCGCAGCTCTTCCCATATTGACTGGAGGCTTTGGTTCAGCCTCATGCTGCTGAACAAAATGCTGACAGTCAGCTTTTGTTTAATACTGAATTTAAAGCTGCTATTAATTATAAAGCTAAGTAAGATCACGCAGCTTATAGATAATTAACTATAGAGAGTGGTGGCTCAGTAACTGACTGAGGATATCACAGAATCACAGAATTGTAGGGGTTGGAAGGGACCTCCAGAGCTCATCGAGTCCAACCCCCTGCCAAAGCAGGTTCCCTACAGCAGGTCGCACAGGTCGGCATCCAGGCAGGTCTTGAACATCTCCAGAGCAGGAGACTCCACCACCTCCCTGGGCAGGATATTTTCTGTAGGTACTGCAAACATAATTTAGTGGTGTCTTTGCACACTGTTACTATTAACGCAATGCTCTTAGGTAAACAAGTATCATGTATTCAACCTGCCAGAGCAGCCTGGAATTGAAGTGTAATGGTCTCCTACAGCGCAAAAAAAAAAGCTTATAGTGGCCTTCCTTCACAAATAGCGAGGATCCCAAATGCCTTCCTTGAGACCAGGGCAGGAGCAAACAGGATGTAACATTGCTTAAAGCAGGAGGAACAGCACAGACCCTGGTGATCCATTCTCTTTTGGTTACAGGGGAAGAACACAGAGATAGAAGAGGAGAAAAGGGGAAAAAAAGAGAGAAAAAATGAATCAAAGCAAGCAAAGGAAAACTTCTCCAAATCCAGTGAACTTGTGCTAACTCCTTATGAATTCCTGTAAATAAATAATAACAACCATTGAATTCACGTTGTCAGGTTTTTATTGCAGGTGATGAAAAAGCTGGTATCAATGGGACAGAAGCACACAGAGCCAAGGCTGGCTTGGAACGATTAACAGAGCAACGTGGAACAGCTGAGAAACTCAGTAGAAACACAGCAGTAACAGCTTCCCTCCTGGCCTCACCACTCTGAGATTCCGTCCGGGTCGCCCAAGGCTTCTCGATATCTACTGGTCAGTTTTGATATCCAGCAGTTTGTGGTCAGCTCTTCCATCCACACAGGTACTGCGATAGCGAGGGGCTGCACAGCGTGCGGCAGCATCACTGTCGTGAGAGCTGCATTTCTGGGACCATTTGGTCATTGTTAGCATCCTGTTGGCACCGAGCTCAGTCGCCCTTGGGGCTGACGTTACCATCAGCATCACTTTCATGATGACTTCTCTGGGTATTTCTCAAGGCATGTCCAGAGTGAGGCCTAGTAGAATTATTTTAGAGTCACCAGGGTTAGGATTAATGTGACTTATTATGTTATTGTTACTTGAAAGATTGTTTTCAGGTAACGCTCAGGGTTAATGTTCTTTCTGCTACAAACTTAGAGAGTGATTTTTTTTTTAATTATTTTTTAAATTTTTTATTCTTTTACTGCTACATTTGGAGTGGGCAATGATTTCAGAACCAAGGTGAGGGTTAGGATTAGAATTCCACTGGAGGTTAATACAGTTATTTTCACAGCTCTTATGTGGGTTGGGGTCTGGGTCAAGAGTTTCAAAAATGAAATGGGAGGAGGGGGGGAAGAATAACTTAATGAAAACTGCAGATTTCCTTAATCTTTGCAGAAATAATGTAACGGCCCATGTGAAACTCAAAACTGCCTCTTCGTGCAGAGACTGCCTTTAGATTTGCTAGGGCCTAAAACTGCCCATTTTATTGCATTAAAAAAAAATCCAAGAATAAAACTTGGAATGCATTAAAGGCATTTGTGAACAAAGATACTAAAATATGAACAAGGCAGGCTGAGAGAACACTAATATGGCCCTGTGCTTTCTGCTAATGCACCTTCATTCCGTGCTCATTAGATTTGCTCAGTAGTTAGATGTTGGTGTGTGGATGTTTTAAAACAACCTAATTCACACGGGGAAACAAATAAATTAAAAAAAGCATGACAGCATCAATTCGATTCGATCATTTTTTAGCGATAAAAGAAACGGATAAAGAAGAGAAGTTTATCTTGGTTTTCTGAGTCTCTTCACCACCCCTCGCGCCCCTTTCTAACGTTGCGTTTTTCTCCTATCGTACAGGAGAAGGAACGGCCGGGGGCGGCGCCGCGCGCTCGCGTCAGTCCTATGGAGCAGTTGATTCCGCGGTCTCTGCTGCCACCGCGCGGCCAGTCTGAGGAAGTGCGGCCGCCTGTGTTTGGTGCCGCAGGCAGCAGGACGCATGCGCACCGCCGTGGCGCGTGTGTTCTCATCGCGGTGCGCAGCTCACCCGCCAGTCTTCTTAGACCTCCAGGCAGTGGTGCGCATGCGCCAGAAGACCAATAGGACGCGTTTGTGCCGCCCGCGGCGGTGCTGGTGAGCAGTCGAGTCTTGGACAGGTGGCGCAGCAACGCTCCTCCGCCCCCCAACCCAGGATGCCCCTTGTCTACTTCCTTGTTGAGAAATGGTTAAAGTCAAAGATTCCTTGTTAGGTAAAGATCATGGTGGTAGCAGCAAAGATTATTCATTATTGCAATAATGAGTGGAAAGACTGGAAACATCTGCTGCAAAAACACAATCCACCTCTCACATCTGTGCAATCTTGCAGACCCAGAGCATCCAGGGTTGTTTCTGCTTTTGTAGTATTTGCATGCTGCAAGGTGAGCAAAAGGTTTTACTGCTTGATTGTTCCTCTCCCAGTGCTGGCTGCAAGTAAATGGCTGCAAGAATTGAGGATGCGATAGAAAGCGTTTGTCTCCATGACAGCATAGTTATATTCAGTCCAGAAAGTGTGAGAGTCAGGTTGAGGTGCCAAAGCACTGACTTGCTGGGGGTGATGCAGCGCTCAGATGGTTAAAACTCACAGATGTCACTGTCAGAGGGTTGGTGCTGTTGTGCTCCTGCCTTTGGCAGCCCCTGGAGAAACGCTGTGTTGGATGCAGCACCTTTGTGTTACCCTGACTGCTTTGGATTTAACCCACAGAAACCAGAGGAGCATGACTGCATCTGACTTGACTGAGAAACTGTAGCTGAAGACATGAGGAGGTGGCTGTGGACCTGCGGACCAAGCAGTACTCCTGACATTGGTTGGTGTGAGCTCCTCCTGCCGCAGCATGGCGATGACAGGTCTGGAGATGGTCTGGACAACTAGCTCATAAAAGGGAGCATAAATGAACATGGCTGGAGGAGAGAGTTCCTAGGGAGCAGCTGAGGCATCAAAATGCATCAAGAAGCCCTGAAAAGCATCACAAAGCCATAGCTAGGAAGCTTGGGAAATCATGAGCAGCAACCAGGATGTTTGAGAGTATTTGCTACCGTACCAGATGGTAGCAGAGCTCTCGCTGCAGACATCCCAATGCCAGGCAAAACAGGAACAAACGCGGAGCTCCGCTGCACGCGCTCCACAGCCATCACCTTGCAAGCTGGGGTGCCTTGCTGTGTGTTGCATTCATCCCAGTCTCTGTGAATGAAGACTTGGAAGGCAGTCAAGGCGTTGATTGAGCACCAGCGTGCTTTTATTTTTACGTAAAGACAAGAGGGCATGAGAGGTCCAGGGTGAAGATGGAGCTCATCCTCTCCTGTCATGGAGAGAGTGGCTCAGAGCTGTCAGATCCGCTGCACGGTGCCTGGGACTGGAGGCCTGATTCTAAGCCTCCCTCCAAGAGGCTCTGCTGCTCCTCGTTGATGCTGACCTGCTCCTGCACAGAGGTGCTGCTGTCGGGGCACTCGGGCTCTGCTTGGGCTGGGCTGCACTGCAGAGGCACCAGGTCACAGTCCAGGCTGCCTGTGGTGTCTGGCAGGCTCAGGTCAGCATCTTCAGCACAGCCGGGAGAAATGAGGGCTTGAACTTGAATGAGCTCCTTCTTTCCATCCCTGTTGTTATGCGGAAGGCTGTCTGTCATGTGAACTTCAGCCATTTGGGCTTCCTATGAGCTCTCCATTGGTGGAAGCACACAGCCCAGCATCGCTACTTGCTCCGGCTCTTTTGGGTCGAAAAGAGTTCAATTCACCTAGAAGAATACACAGGGTTTACTGTCAAACTTTTGCTGTCCAAGCACAGTCTCGGTGTGGTCTGTCAAGTACACTTTAAGCAGCATGCTAGATGGTCCCTGGCCAGCTCTAAACAACAAGAACAAAGAATGAAGTCAGCAATAGCTGTTAATTAAGTCTGTGCTGTCAGCTGAGCAAAGAATCCTGTGATCTACTCACCCCCCCCCCCTAGGGAAACAAAACTGAGAAGTGACAGGCTGAATTACGAAAGTGATCATTGACATTTGGTTATGAAGTGACGGTGGAAGGAAGTAAATAGGCTTCTAGCAACAGTGCCACTGTCTTGAAAATGATCCTTGTGCAGGTCCAGATCTTGGCTTAACAAGAGACTCATTTGGGAAAGTCAGGAGTTAACTGAAGTTGTTGTTACGTATGGGCTGGAATGCTAGAAGGAGGTGCAAGTCCACTGAAAGCACAAATTCTATGTTGCTGAAAAGCAGGGTTTTGAAAGCTGGATTTGCATCCTTACCTGCCAGCACTACGACTTCTGTTTCTGCAGGCTCCCTGGCATTGCACTGCGGTTGGCGTTTGGCCCCAGAGGATGGTTTTCCCAGGCTGAAGCAGGAACACCAACAGCCAGCTGGTGATTCCTTTATGCTGCTGGGTGGACTTGGTCTGGAGAGAGAAAACAGGGAATGGTGGGAGTCGTGCGTGGCGCAGGGTGAGGGAAGAGCTGCACTGAGCTCGTGCCAACAGTTGCTTATTCCTAGCACCGCCTGGTTCCTGCTGAAACACAGCTTAGAAACTCGCTCCATTTCACGCAGTTGAGGATGGTTCCATTCCTATAGCTCAGCCCTGAAGTCTTGCTGGCTAAATTCCCCTCAACTGTGTCAAGCAAGATGCAGAGCATGTGAGGTCCACAGGCTCCACACCTGTACAGGACAGCATCAAAGGATGGCTTTGATCGAGTTGGCCGGCATAACTGCTGGCTGAGGAATTGCACAGCCATAAAGGAACTTCAAAAGCATCTCTGACTCTGACACTGACAGCTCATCAGCCCATTTCACTGCCATGTCTAGTTTCTAGTGTCAGCAGGTCTGACCAACAGCTCTGCGTAGAGGAGAACCAGAACTGGATTCAGGCACGAGGCTCTGAAATCTGGAAAACCCCAACGTTTCCAGGTACAGCCAGCACAGGCCAGGACAGATGTCAGCGTGGCTTCATGCAGCTCGTGACTGCCTGCCCAGCAAGGAGGGAATGCCAGCCTTGTGTGGCTAAACTGAGCCTGGCGGGCAACTCGATGTTAACTGAATCTCACAGTGCAAAGGCAGTGGAGATTCACTGCAACACTTCAGGCACCATCAGTTTAATTTGGTTTCCGCAAGTTTAGGCACGGGAAATAATGGGGGAAAAAGAAAAACACAACCCACCCAAACAGTGATGACAGAATGATGACAGTTGCTGGAAAATAAAGTCCTCTTTACCTTTCAGATGGAAAGTCGATGATGGTGTGGAATTTCCCCCGTACAGCTGTGGGGCCTTCTTCCACCTCTATGTCACTGCTCTCTGTCACAACGACAGGAGAGCTGCTGTGGCCTCGCCTCCGTGCCTGCGCCTCCTCCAGGCTGAGCAGCTCTGTGGCAGGGTAAGAGGTCCGCACAGACTGGGGCCCTGAGACAGAACTGTGCCCTGGAAGGGAAAACCACAGGTGAGAGCCAGGATCAGAAAGCGGCAGCACAGCCATCGCAGGTCCGGGGGAGCTGCTGTGTTTTCCTCAGACTTGCTTAACCGAGCCACTGGAAGAAGAGCAGCTCAAAACAACCATGTGCTCAGAGGTGTGTCTATGGCAAAGGACGCAGTCATAATTAAGAGCAGCTCCCTGTATCGAAACAGGCAAACACAATCCCTAGAAAATGGGGGCAGGGAACTGAGAAAGCTTCGTTGCCACACGTTAATCAAGCTTCACCTGCTTGCAAAACATCATAATGACAGTGATGGTTTTTTCTCCTTGTCAAGTTTGGGCTTGCACATTCTCAGCATCCAGCAACTGGACGCCAGATTCCAATCTAAGCCCAGAAGTCTGCTGTTCCCTCAACAGGAAAAGTGTATTTCAAAGGACTTGGAAAAGGCCTGCATTTGATCCAGATGTCTGACCAAGATAAAGCTAATGGAGGAAGACACTCACCTGCTCCATCTGCAATGTCCGATCCGGATGTGGAGCAGAAGAGGACGTCTGTGTGGTCGATGATGAATTCCACCACGGCCGACTGCGTCTGCAGTTCCGTGCAGGCAGCTCTCCCGCTGGCGCAGGCAGACTTGCTCTGCTGTGATCTGTAGAAAAGGCAGGTTTTAGACGTCATTCAGCCAAGATCGCTTCCCCAGGTCTGAATTACTGCAGCCCAAAGCTGTCACATTTGTTCTCAGGAGACTTCCGCAGCGGGCATATAAGAGATGCCACTGAAGAAGTTCTCCTGGCTGATCAAGGACACAGCAGTCCCATCTAAACAAGAGAGCAGCAATGCTCAGCTAGAAATTGTGCCCACGCGGGGTTGGAGAACAGTCCAGGCTCCTGCTCTGCTGTCAGCCACTCACTGCACATTTTACAGGAGAAGAGCACATGTGGTGCAGAAGAAGGGGGGACTGCTTTATTCTACTGGAGAACAGATGTAAGCGTTCTGTTGAAACGGAAAAAGAAGTTTACCTTAGGAGGTTTGGAGCCCACACAATGGCTAAGTTCTTTGCGTGCATGTTGGTGACAGAGCTGTTCGCAGACAGACAGGCCAAGTGTCTCATCAGGAACACCAGGGTCCTGGGAAACAAGAGGGGCAAATGTTCAGCACCAGCCAGCATGCTGTGCTGCCACTCACAAAGCAAACCTCAATTCACACTAGTTGTTATTACTGCTACTGATGCTGAAGATGAAGTAGACCCAACTTGACCAAGTGCCACGCTGCAGCACCCAGCACCAGCACAGCACAGCCACAGCCATCAGCTGCACCAAGCCTGCCCCCGTGCCCAGGAACTGACCCAATAAATTAACCCTGTAAATTAAACCGGTGCAGCCTTCAACCGCTTCAACATACCCAGGCATCGTGTTGCTCATGTGAGACAAAGCCTGGAATCGCACCATTGCCCTCTGAAGTGCAGCAGGGCTGAGCTCAGCAGGCTGAGGGCAGCACTGACCTGTAGTGAGGAGCAGGCAGCTGCTGGATGACGTCCCGCATTCTGACCAGCCGCTCCTCCTCCGTAGAGGCACCAACAGCATCCTGGAAAAGAGCAGAAAGGGATTGAGACACAAATCAGGCGAGATACCTGCCGCAGGGTCGGGAACCATGGGCACAGCGCGCTGCTGGTCAGCACTGAGAAAGTTTTTAGGCCTCCCCAGAGGCATCTGGCAAACATAGCGGCACGCAGCTGGTGCCACCACAGCCAAGGAGTCCAAGCACCGGGCCGGTTTACAGCCTGGTTGGGCAGCTCAGCTCCTCGCAGGGGGCATTCATCTCCAAGTACGCTTGGCTATTAATCCCCTTCCTGTTCCAGAAATAGCTGGGGAATAGCAAAAAAACAAACAAACAAACAAACAACACAGGAATTCTCGCAAGCACTGTGAATATGCAAATAACCACCTCCTGGGGCCACCAGAAGCGGCATCAGCACGATGCAGGATGTGGCAAAGACTTGCGAGTAAACCCCATGGGGCTAACAGAAGAAGGGCCTCAGAGCTGGGGCACTGCTGCAGCCATCTCCCAAGAGGCCCAGCGAAGAGGGAAAGGAAAGGCGTTGCCTCGTGCTTACCGAGAACTTGTCGTACAGCTGGTCGGTCAGCAGGGGGGTCGGGAGCTCCCTGAAGTACATTTTGCAGAGGGAGCTCGCGCTGTGAACGTCGCGGACGGTTAGCTCAGGAACCTGCTCAGACTCAAATTCCTGGCTGCAGAGAAGGACACGAAAGCGGTTGAGAAAGAGGAAAGCAAGTCAAAAGCCACACCCAATGCAATCAAGAGTTGGAAGGGCTTCCTGATGTACAGGAGAACACAAACACTCGGCCACCAGCACCACGTCAGCCGTGCTGGATGGGATGTTCCCAAAGGAGACCTTTTCTCTGTGCTAAGGCATTGCCCGCAGGCCTCTGAACGCCCGCAACAGGGCACGTGCCCCTGCTGGCAGCTGTGTCTGTCAGTCGCAGCACTCTTACCGCAGTCTCTGGACGTTGGACGCCACGCCGGACAGGCGGTATATCCCCTGCACCACGCCATGCTGCTCGATGAACTCGGCGCAGCTCTGGAGGACCTGGGGGACTAAAGAACACGTGCCGGCGGTTACTGGAGCTCCTCAGTCAAGTCCTGCCTCAGGCTGCGCTCCCGTCACATCCCATCCACTAAACCCAGCCAGGCTACTGCTAGGTTCTTCCTTGAAGGGGACAGCTGTCAGAGACACCTCCGCAGGAGCTGGTGAGGAAACTGGACACAGATGTGTTCTTTGCATTCCAGAAATGCCAGGACCTAGGAATCAGCCTGGAGAAAGTAATTCCGGGGAAGCCGCAGACATTGCAAGTCCCATCACAGCTCCCACGGGAATGGAGGTGGAAAATCTCACGCCCGGAAGGAGCTGGGAAACTGATGCAAAAGGCTTCCTTTCTTTTCAGGCTACCAGGGGATTGGCTTACAGGCTTTGCTTTAAGCAAATGCAAATGCGTTTGTCCCTTAGGAGCATTTCCCTTGCAGCCATCACCTCCTCAGTTGATCTTTCAGTCCTCAACTCCCATTCCCCGTTTCTCCACTGGTATCAACCTGCACCTATCTAGATACCATCTCCCTTTCATCTCTAGGTCCCCAAACAGGGAAGCTCTCAGGAATGGGCTGTCCCTTACCATCACGACCAGAGTGGAGAAGATGCTCTCCCAGGTCACGGCCGAACACCCTCTCCTTCTCCACCTCCTGCTCTTTCCGTTGCTTTGGGCTTCACCACGGAACGAAGGAAGGTGAGGAGCTTGCCGCGCTTCTTTGGCACTGCACAACAAAAGGAAGAAACCAGTTCGTTTTAGGCTTGGCTCCGTTGGACGAGGCTGAGCACAACACATTCTGCAGAGCACCTCAAAACGGGAAGAACATGATGAGCAAGTGCTTACTGGAGGAATCCAAGGCCAGCTTGGATGGGGACCTGGACCGCGGGGTCTCGTCTTGCATTAAATGTGGAGTTTGGTTGGCAGCCCAGCTTGAGGCACGGGGCTTGGAGCTTGATGATCTTTGAGCTCCCTTCCATCCCAAGCCATCCTAGAATTTCCCCAAGTCCAGTCCTAAAGGGCACAGGAGGATTGGGCCAAATCTCTGCACGCATCTCTTCTGTCTGAACAGAAGATTCAAATGCCAAATAGAGCCATAGTTTAGAGATGGCTGAACTCCTCCCTGCATCCAACCCAGTGCAAGTCTAATCTGGAGCCGCACCTTCTGAGCTTCACCTCACCAAACATTCGGAAGGTGTCTGAGAATATTCCTGATAGCTTCACATGTTATACTCTTCTGTACAGGACAACAAGGAATGCCCTTAACTGCTTACCTCCAAGGAGAGTTCACCCGGTGCCTGGGCAACGTATCTCTTAATAACGTGGGCAGCAGCAATAGCTGGGATATTAAGAGATGACTCCTCACGGACCAGCAGGGGCTTCCCGTTGTTCTCAGCCTGAAACACAGAGCACAGGCCATGGTGAGGAGCTGAGGGCAAACGAGGAGGATTTCAGGCTGAGGAGCATGTCAGCAGAGAAAGCTGCAGGAAGTGCACTCCGTCCTTATCATGGGCACACAAGAAGGAACGGCAAGGCTAAGAACAGCTGTATCTCTTCCTGGTGTGCAGCAGGCGCTCGCCAGGCAATGCCAAGACGCATCTCTCTCTACCCAGACTAATCAGCAATGGCAATGGCCCAGACAGGTGGCCGTGCCCATTTCGCCCCATCCTTTCCTGCGCTCTTTGTCCAGGAAGGTCGATTGTTTCAGATGCTAGGAGAGCGTTCAGAAGGAAACCAAAGCTACGGCTGCAGTTCACAAGGTGCAAACGGTGCCGCTGCAAGCACAAAGCAAGCTCTCGTGAGCCGTTCAACCAACAGTGAGGCTAAACAGGAGCAGACAGCGTTTGTTGTTTCTGCAGCTATTTCAAGGGAAAAATCAGAAGAGGACAAACTCCACAACCAAGACGGCTGTGGAGTTGGGGCAGTGACAGCCTCATAGCACCCCACAGTGCCCCACAGCACCTCATTCATCCCAAGAACTACTCCAGTGTCTCCATGTCTCCCCCACAACCCCCATGCTGCAACTCCCCTCACCCCCCTAGCACCGTGCCCGTGAGGACCACTGCGAGGAGGGCCACACCTTGGGGCTACCACTTCCTTCCACCCCACAGCAGAAGGGGATGTAGGGTGGGGGTGGGTGCTGCGGGGTGCCAAGGGGGCCACAAAAGTGAGGCACAGGGATTGGCGAGACCTGTCTATAGGGAATCATGGGAGTCTGTGGGGACTGTGGGGGACCATTGTTGTGTCTGTATGAGACTTTGGGGTCTGTGGGGAACCTCAGTGAGCACAGAATGGCACAGGGACCATAGTGGAGCACAGGATCATAGGGGACATGGGAGTCAGTAGGGGAAATGAGGGACGTGCGGGTCTATAGGGGATTGTGGAGGACCATGGGGGTCCAAAAGGGGATGAGAGGTATGCAGGGCACCATGGAAGGTATTTGGGTTCACAGAGAATCTCGGGCCCCGTGGAGGGCTGTGCGGACCATGCTGTGGGGTCTGTGGGGGGCACAGGGACCCAGGGGCCCATAGAGGGCACTGTCCTGCACACCACTGCAACTGCAGTTGTGCAGCACATTGCTCTGCTGTCTCTGCTCTGTGCCCCTCATCGCTATGGTAGAAGTCCTCCAGGTTCAAACATGCACACACTGGGGGTCTTGGAAGGGGTGACTCTTTTGCTCCATGTGATCCTGATGGGCAATGGTTCAAGCTGAATGTTTCTCACTGAGGGGCACTCGTGTGACTTTGAGTACAGGGGTTGACCCACAGATGCGCTGCAGAACCCAAGGGGGCTCCAGGTATCTGATGGGGCAGACTGGAATACACTGGAGGTTCCTAGGGACCCAGGGCTTTGTGTCAGTACTAAAATGTCTGCTACCCTATCTGCTAGAAATGTCTTTGAGGACAGACTGCGATCCACACACATTGGTCATTGCAGCTCATCCATTGATAAACCACCTTTGGCAGACATTCATTTTACTTTTTTTTTTGCCTTATGGCTGTATGGGAGCTGTGAGGTCACGACCTGAAGCAGTGACTGAGCACCAGGCGAGGGCTGCAGCTCTACGAGCACAGCTGGCAGCAGCTTACTTGCATGTCTGCAGCGTGATGCCGCCAGCGGCGCTTGCGCAGTGCGGCGCCGAGAGTGGCGCCGAGCCGATAAAGGCACACGCGCAGTTCTGCGCCGGGACTGGCGCTGGAGTGAAGCAGTGCCCTGATTCGTGCATGCGTATTGCTTTCCTGAGACTTCTGGTCCCGGGTTTCTGTGGAGTCGGTGTTCCTGGGCGCCGGTACCGCGACAGTGAATCTCCGGGCTGCTCACGTTCCGCTGTCGCTGCGAGGGCTTTTACGCGGCTGGGGGAAGGTGCGGGGCTGGGGCTGGAAGGGCCGTTCGCTAATTCACAGGGGTGGCGAGCAAATTGCGTGGCACGAGGCGCTGTGGAGCAGCTGTGAGCCCAACCGCTCCGTTCCTTGGTGGGTTCAGGCACAAAACGGCGGAAATAAATGAGGGGCATCCTGGATTAAAAGGGGGAGAAGATCGCTGAGCCGGCGGTCCGAGAATCGGCTGCTTTGCCCGTACCTGTGGTGTTTCGAAAAAATTGCTATTGTTAAGTTGATGGGCGCATGTTCGCTATTAGCTGGAGGACTGATCACCATAGAGAGTGGAGGATTAGCTGCGCAGAGTGGTTAAAACGCCACTTCCGCATTTGTGGGCACATGCGTTGTGCTGCTGGCAGGACTCGGCGGCAGACAGCGGCCGTTCCGCGCATTGGCCACGAGGTGGCAGCAGAGACCGCGGAAAGAAGTTTTCCGACGGGACTGGGGGAGCGGCGGCGCAGCGCCTGGCGATCCGCACTGTGTGCTGTGAGGAGGGGAGAGGAGCGCGAAGTTAGAAGTGGAGGGGTTGTGGGGGTAAAGACGAAGAAGAAAGAGGGAAACTACTCCAAACCCAGGAGAGCTGTGCCAAGTGCTTATAAATAGCTGTAAAAAAGGAGTTGGTTTTTTTTTTTAATTTTTTCTTTTTGCCAGCGTCTGTTGCATTGTTTCTAAATGTTCAAATACCAAAATGCAACTGCCCAGCAAATTTAACGATAATGGGATTAGAGCCCATTGGCACAAAGCGCTGGGCCGTGTTAATGTTTGCTCAGCCTCTGTCTTGTTTATACTTCCACGTATTTTTCTTCAAAAGCCTTTCTTTCACTGCAGGTTTCATTTTTGGCTTTTTGTTCTTTTCATGCCATAAAATGGGAAGTTTTAGGTCCTAGCAAGTCTAAGCAGCCAGATCTAGCACAAAGCTGCAGTTTTGAGTTCTGTGTGGACCATGACAGTGTTCCTACAAAGGAACAAAAACTGCAGTTCTCCCCCTAAGTTTACAGATGGAAAAAATTAATTCACCTGCCTAGAAAGAATTGATGTGTCACAGCTGCCATTGGCAAGATGGCCTGAGAGTTGTGTGGGTGCATCTGGCTGTGAGAGGAATGTCTCTGTGGAAGGACAGCTTGTACCCCCCTCTGATGGGGGCAGCTTCTCAGCTGCCCTACCCTGGTCTTCCTGCAGCTGGACAGACAGCCCAGAAGGGCACGGGGTACGCAGACCCTCCCCGGCCAGCTGCAGCGGTCGCTCCTGCCAGCACTCCCTTTCCCCCCAACCGTTCCCATTTCGCAGGCTGGAGTCCTGTGTGGCAGAGGAGGAGAGAGCTGCAGGCAGAAGGAAAACAGGGTGCTGGGATTCCTGCAGCTCGCTGCCAGCTGTCTTCTCTGACATTTTGGGGGTGGGCAGGGGACTGTGGGAGCACCCTCAAGGCTCTGGGCAGGAGGGAAGGAAGCAAAGATGCAGCTGCAGGTAGTGGGCTCTGAGCTGGAGCAGTGCAGCCGGGCACCGTGCAGCTCCCAGTCTGGGCACATGGAGCAAGTTTGTCCAGCTGAGGGCTGCAGGGCTGTCCTTATCAAGCACTCCCCCATCCCAGAGGACTGCAGCAACTGCACCAGTTGCTCGAGCTCTTCCCACTGCAGGAGCTCAGAACTGACAAGAACCCTGACCCAAGCAGGTAATGACAACATGCACACAGATACACACCTGATACAGAATCTGGCATACTACAGTCCTCCCAGAGCTTCTTGCTGCTTTTTAGGCTGCTCTACAGCTATTCAGTCCATTCCCCTTCATTCCCCTATGTCTTGCCCCCTTTCTTCGCCCATTCCTTTTTCAGGTTTTCTCCTTGCTTTCCACACTTCCTTCCCCATGCCTTCTCCCTGCAATGGCCCCATGTTCTGCTGATCTTCTCAGCTGACAATCCTTAAACCGCACTTTTCAAAGACATGGGATCAGACCGCATACTATCACTGATTTTAAAACAGCCGAAGAAGTACAGTATTATGTATGGATAACAAACTCCTACCTGCTGGAAGACCAATATCAGCTCCTCATCCTGGAGCATCACCATCGCCCCCAGGTTGGGCTGGTGCTGCTCATCTGCCCTGCAGTGCTGCTCGAATGGCACCGGCACCTCCTGGCACGGCCTGCCACCTCCCTGTGTCACCTCCTCTCACCTCTGTATTTCTGACTCCACACATCAAACCCATGTCCCCCCATGTCCTCACACATCCCTGTGTCCCCATATGCCCTCTCATGTCCCCTCAAGTCCCCCCATGTCCCCTGCCCCACTTTGCTCCTTGCTAATGTCACTGTGGGGTTGAGGACGGGGGTAGGGATGGCTGTGGGGTGCGTGGAGTCCTGGGACGAGTTGATGGCCGTGTGCAGTGGGGTGATGGTGCCCTCAGCGCATGGCTGTGACATTGGGGGGGGTAGTGCCCCACAAGTGGGGGTCATTGTCCCCAAAATAGGGCTCGTGCCCCACGCACGTGGGCAAGTTGTACGGGCAGTGCTTTCTGGAGATGATCTGTCTTTTCTCTCCATCTGCAGCGACTTCAGCAATCCCGCGTCGAGCCGCAGCAGCAATGGGGCACTGTCAGCGATCTCTGACAAGAGCAGCGCAGGGCTGCACGAAGGACACATTGCAGCCTGCCTGTTTCTGTGGGGTTTGGATTGCTGTTGGAGCCCAAAGGCCACACTCTGCCATACAGGCAGGTGCCAGGTTCACCAACTGAGGACATCAAACCCTCCAATAACGTCACAGCGGCCTTTAATTGCTGTGTGAGGAGATGACGTGCGTTTCTCCCTGGGGAGCCGTAAGCTGAGCTTGGCAGCTGGGCAGCCAGCACTCGCTCCATTGACGCCGCTCATCTCAGCCCTTGTGCTGCACGTGCAGCTTCTCAGCACCTCGCTGTATCAGCACTGAAATCTGTGCTCCCCTATTTATTACAAATGTCACCAATTGCCATGGAGGACAGACTGGAATCAAAATACATGGGCCATCCTAGCTCGTCCATGGATAAACCTCCCCTTGCCAGACAGGCAGACCCAATTGGCTGCTGGTGTTGTTGTTTTTTTTTCTTTATTTTTTCCTTCCTGCTTTTAGGGGAACTTTGAGATCACAGCCGGAAGCAGTGATGGAGCACCTGGTGAGGGGTGCAGCCCTGCCTGCACAGGTGGAAGCAATGCAGCCGTGGGGCAGATGGGGCTGAGCCTGGCTCCAGCCCTCCCTCACCTCATCTGAGAGCTGGCAGCCCCAAAGGCAGTGTCTCTTCCCAGTCTCTTCACCCTCCCCCTCCTATGGGTTGTTGGGGGGCTCTGGTTCTTGGAAAGAGGTAAGCAATTCTTTCTTTATTGTAGGGTTTTGATCTTTCCATTCCTATGGGGATCCTAAGCTGGTTTAGAGTAGCTCTATCTGCTTTGCCTGTCTTTATGGTGCCCTTCAATTGTTTTCTGGGGGAAATGCCAGCCTCCCCCCTTCCTTCCACCCCCTGACTCCTGTAAAATAGCTAGCTCTGCAGCTACAGGACCCAGTGTGATGAAACAAGGCCTCTGGTGTGCTGAATACTGGGACTGTCATGGACAGGCTCTGTGCTGATGTGGATCTTCCTGGTTGCACTACTTGCTGAGTGTCCCCAGAGCTGCTGAGCACTCAGGCTTCCCTGCCTGCCCTGATTGCTCACCAGGCCATCGACGTCCTTTGTGTCACCGTTCCTCATGGCATCAGCTGTCACACCATAGACTCCTTAGAGTCGGAAGAAACCATTTGTGATGATCTATTCCGACTCCCCACAAGGAACAGGGATGTTCACAGCTAGATCAGAGCCCTATCCAACCTCACCTTGGAAGGGACAGGGCATCCAGCACATCTCTGGGCAACCTGTTCCACTGCCTCACCACCCTTACTGTAAAAGATATTTTCCTTACACCTAACCTAAATTTTCCTTTGTTCTTTCCTTTTGCTCCAATTTAAGTATCAAACGGCTGTTACCAGGTCACCTTGGAGCCTTCACTTCTCCGTGCTGAACAGCCCCAGCTCTCTCAGCCTGTCTTTGGAGGAGAGCTGTTTGATCCCTTGTTTTTTTTTGTTTTTTTTTTTTGTGGCCATCCTCTGATGTGATCCAACAGGTCCATGTCTCTTCTGCACTGAGGACTCTACATTCTGACACAATCTCTACATGTGGGATTGTGCAGAATATGGACTCAGATAATGGAAGCCTCTTTACTTCACAGGTCCTACAGGAGCTGATGAGAACTTTAGAAATAAAGTGGGAGCTCCATACTCTGTGGCACCCTCCTTCTTCAGGGAAAGTAGAATGAATCAATCAGATGCTGAAGAAGCACTTGTCAAAATTGGTTTCAGAGACCAAATTACCATGGACAAAGTGTTTGCCTGTAGCCCTTGTCAGAATACAAACCACTCACAGAAAAGGCTTAGGAGTATCACCACACGAAGTGCTGTTTGGGTTGCTGTACTTGGGAATGGTGAGATGCCCGCTCTTGAAACCAAGGGTAAGTTTCTCCAGAACTGTATACTCGGGTTGTCTGCTGCTCTGTTACCCCTTAAGGGATGTGGGCTGTTGGCTCAAACTCCACCTCTGGAATTTCCAGTGCACTCATCCCGTGTTGGAGACTGGTCCTAATACGCGCCTGGCAGAAATCAAGGCTTCAGCCTGAGTGGGATGGAATGGACCATTTCAGGTACTGCAGTGGATGTTGTCTACCTTGACTTCAGCAATGTTTTGTTACAGTCTCCCACGTCATCCTGGTAATGAAGCTGAGAAAGTGTGGGATAGAGGAGTGGATGATGAGGTGGGCTGAGAACTGGTTTACTGGCTGAGCTCAGTGGTGGTGATCGGCGGCGCAGAGTGCGGCTGGAGAGCTGTGAGCGGCGGTGCTCCCGGGGGTTGGTGCTGGGTCTGGTTGTGAAGGGGAGATTGTGTTTGTGCTGTAGAAGCTTTTAGTATTTTCTGTCTGTAGTACTGGCTTTACTGAACTTACAGCCCTCTTGTGAAAGAGCTGTTTGCCTTCTACTAAGAAAGGTGCTGAGCAGAGTGAAAAGATAAAGATTTGGGGTGTTCTGAATTAAGCCAGGCACAAAATAAGGCAAATGTGCAGGGTGGAGAGAGAGAGAGCCCAGCACAGGGCAGAACAAACGTGCTCACTCCTGGTTGGCACACCAAAAGCCTGTGCTGCCATTCAGGGTGGGGAGCTGGGCAGAAACAAACCAGATGAGATGGAACAAAAGCAAGTGTTGAGCCTTGCACCTGGGAAGGAATGGCCGCAAGTATCAGTACAGGCTGGGACGTGACTGGCTGGAGAGGAGCTCTGCAGAGAAGGACCTGGGGGTCCTGGTGGACGACAGGTCGGCCATGAGCCAGCAGTGTGCCCTGCTGGCCAAGAAGACCAATTGGATCCTATGGCGCTTTAAAAGGAGCGCGGCCAGCAGAGCAAGGGAGGTGATTTTCCCACTCTGCTCTGCCCTGGTCAGGCCTCACCTGCAGTATTGCATCCAGTTCTGGGCTCCCTTCATGGTACAGAAATGACAAGGATCTCTTGGAGAGAGTCCAACAGAAGGCCAGGAAGATGATAAAGGGCTTGGAGCATCTCCTCGGTATGGAAAGGCTGGGGGACCTGGGTCTGTTCAGCCTTGAGGAAAGAAGACTGAGAGCAGATCTGATTAATGCTTATGTATTTGTTAAGTGTGGGAGTCCAAAGGACACGGCCAACCTCTTGTCAGCAATGTGTGACAGGAGAAGGGGAAATGGCCACAAACTGGAGCACAGGAAGTTCTGCACCAAAATGCAAAGGATCTTCTTCACAGCAAGGGTGATGGAGCGCTGGAACAGGCTGCCCAGGGAGGCTGTGGCTTCTCCTTGTCTGGAGATATTCCAGACTCTCCTGGACGCCCACCTGCGCGGCCCGCTGTAGGGAGTCCATTTTGCAGGGAGCTTGGACTCAATGATCACTGGGGGACCCCTGCAACCCCAATTCTGTGGTTCTGTGATTTTACTCCTTGCTTCTTGCAGCGATGCAGTGTTTCAGAAGGGAGAAAAACACGGCGAGCATCAACTGGATTTCTGTGGTTGGTGAAGCTGTGCTGAGAACTGGGATGGCTGCTGCCCCTGGAAATGTGTCTGCAGACTCTGCACCCAGAGGAATGACTTTTCCCTGCAGGTTGGGCTTGTCTAAGGTAGGTCACTGCTAGGTGAGCTTCTGCTTTAAAACATCAAGTTGTACAAATAAGGAAACTTCAAAAGCAAGATTGCCAATTCTTTTTTACATAGGTGATTTTTTCACAAGGAAAGATTTGAAATGCTGTTTGCTAATGGAAGATGGAGAGAGGAAAATCAAGTCAAAGGCACACTGTGCACAGCCAGCACATAGCATCTGCACCGCTCTCCCCCTGCACAAAGGAGGAGCAGCTCAGCAAGCTTGGCCTGGGCCAGGAAGGCAGCACACAAACATCTGGACCAACCCCAACGGAGCTCCTTCTGCAGGTTGGTTGTCTTCCGCTGTGTGTCTGCCATCCTGCTGCTCTGGGGTAGATTGGTTGATGTTCAGCTCATGGAGTTGAGGTCTGAGTTTAAGTCTGTGGGCATCATCCAGGAATTGGGGTAGGGTACGAGGCAAGGAAAATTGGGGTAAGAGAATGAGGCTTAGGACCAGGAACCTATTCCATCACTATTAGCTCTTGCTGTTCTCTTTTTGGCTTAGGAATCCATGTGGGTTTTTTAATGAAGAACAGACTCATTGTGCAGCTTGCGAGTGAATTCATTCACGCATGTTAATTGGCATTCTTCTCTATGTGGAGCTGCAATTGCAATGGATGCTTGTGGTCTGATGTACAGCCCCCTCTGATGTGCTCAGATGAGCCAAGTTTGCAAGGCCTGACTCTCGGTTGGTGAGTTGTGCCCAAGTTCAGAGGGTTGACTCTTGTCGGCTTTGAGATGCATCTTCCAGTTGCACGCTGTGTTCCTGTTGCGTTGAGCTCTTGAGCTCCAGCCCCAGCCCTAAGTGAGGATGCAAGCGCTACCACAGAAGGGATGGTTGAGATTGGAAGTGCAGGGCAAAGGGCTGGAGCCAGCAGGAGCAGGGATGTGATCATCCCCCTGTGCTCAGCTCTAGTGAGTCCTCACCTTGAGTGCTGTGTTCAGTTCTGGGTCCCTGACTGAATGAAGGGGGAAGGGGACAAAATAAGGGCTACTGGGGTTGAACGGGTCATTCGAGGGCTTGTACCAAACTCCATGGGCAATGACGGCAGAGTGCATAGGGAAGGACTAGGGCAGGGGGATGCTGGGGATGCTGCTGTTCTAGGGGATCCTAGATCCCTTATAAAGGTGGCGAGACGGATAGCCTGGCTGAAGTGCCTTTATACCAATGCACGCAGCCTGAGTAACAAGCAGGAGGAACTGGAAACTGTGATGCACTCGGAAAGTTATGACCTTGTTGCTATCACAGAAACATGGTGGGATGACTCCCACAATTGGGATACTGCCATCGACAGCTATAGACTCTTTAGGAGAGATAGGCGGGGTAGGAGGGGTGGGGGAGTTGCTCTCTATGTCAGAGATTGGATAAACTGTGAGGAGCTCCCTACGAGAAACAGTCAGGAACAGGTCGAGAGCCTGTGGGTTAGGATTAGAGATGGGACTAATATAGGTCAGCTGGTGTTAGGGGTATACTACAGACCACCTGATCAAGGGGAGGCTGTTGATGAGGCTTTCTTGCTCCAGATGCGTGAGATGTCTGGCTCACGGGCTCTTGTCCTGGTGGGGGACTTCAACCATCCGGACATCTGCTGGGAAAACCACATGGGGAGCTGCAAGAGCTCCAGAAGGCTCTTGGAATCCATTGACGATAGCTTTCTGGTTCAGGTATTGGACAGACCGACCAGAGGTGAAGCATTGATAGACCTGCTGCTCACCAACGCCGAGGAGATCATCAAAGGCGTCAAGGTTGGAGGCTGCCTGGGCTCCAGCGACCACGACCTGGTTGAGTTTGTGATCTCAAGCGATGTGGGCCTGGCAAAGAGCAGGATCAGGACACTGAACTTTAGAAAAGCAGACTTCAAGCTACTCAATGGATTGCTGGCCAAGATCCCCTGGCGCGCTGCCCTCAAAGACAGGGATGTTGAGGAGAGCTGGCGGCTCTTCAAAGATGCCCTTCTGGAAGCACAAGAGGTCTCCATTCCTCTGAATAAGAAAGTGGGCAGGCGAGGTAGGAAACCGGCATGGCTCAGCAAGGACCTGCTGAGAGAACGGAGGGCGAAGAAAGGTCTGTACAAGCTCTGGAAACAAGGCTGTGTCACCTGGGAAGAGTACAGGGACGCCGTCCGGACTTGCAGACGTGGGATCAGGGAAGCCAAGGCGCAGGCAGAACTGAACTTGGCAAGGGACGTGAAAAACAATAAGAAAACCTTCTACAGGTACATTGGCCAGAAGAGACAGGCCAAAACAGGCGTACCTACTTTGGTAAATTTAAAAGGAGAACTGGCTTCAACAGATGAAGAGAAAGCTGAGGTGCTGAATGAGTTCTTCACCTTGGTCTTCACTGGTGGCCAGGATTCTAGTCCTTTTCACGTCCCTGAACCCTGCATCCCCAAACCTCTATGTGGGGACCAAGGAGGTAAATCCCTCCCCACTGTAAGGGCAGAGCAAGTCCGAGAGTGCGTCCTTAGACTGAATGAATACAAGTCTATGGGGCCAGATGGCGTGCATCCCAGGGTCCTGAAGGAGCTGGCTGAGGTGGTTGCCGAGCCGCTCTCCATCATATTTGAGAAGTCGTGGCTGTCAGGTGAGGTCCCAGATGACTGGAGGAAGGGTCACGTCACTCCCATATACAAGAAGGGGAGCAGGGAGGACCCAGGGAACTACAGGCCGGTGAGTCTCACCTCCGTGCCTGGGAAGATCATGGAACAGATCCTCCTGGACAACATGCTCGATCACATAAAGAATGAGCATGTGATCCGAGACAGCCAGCACGGCTTCACCAAAGGAAGGTCATGCCTGACTAATCTTGTGGCCTTCTATGATGGAGTGACGGCATTGGTGGACGAAGGGAAGGCGACCGATGTCATTTACCTGGACCTGAGCAAGGCCTTTGACATGGTCCCCCACCACATCCTCATCTCCAAATTGGAGGGAACTGGATTTGATGGGTGGACGACCCGATGGATAAGCAATTGGTTGAAAGGCCGCAGACAGAGGGTGGTGGTCAATGGCTCTGTGTCCAGGTGGAGGCCGGTAACAAGTGGTGTCCCCCAAGGGTCTGTCTTGGGACCGGTGCTCTTTAACATCTTTATTAATGGCATCGATGAGCGAATTGAGTGCACCCTCAGCAAGTTTGCTGATGACACCAAGCTGAGTGGTGCGGTTGATACGGTGGAAGGAAGGGATGCCATTCAGAGGGACCTCGACAGGCTGGAGGGCTGGGCTCGGGTGAACCTAATGAGGTTCAGCACGGCAAAGTGCAAGGTTTTGCATTTGAGCCGGAAGAACCCCAGGCACCCGTACAGGCTGGGAGGAGTGGGCCTTGAGAGCAGCTCGGCAGAGAAGGACCTGGGGGTTCCTGATGGACGAGAGACTGAACATGAGCCAGCAGTGCGCTCTGGCAGCTCGAAAGGCAAATGGGATCCTGGGCTCCATCAGGAGAGTGGTGGTCAGCAGGGACAGGGAGGTGATTGTCCCTCTCTACTCGGCTCTTGTGAGGCCCCATCTGGAGTACTGTGTCCAGGTGTGGAGCCCTCAGTACGAGAAAGACATTGAGATGTTGGAAAGGGTCCAGAGGAGGGCGACTAAGATGATCAGGGGGCTGGAGCACCTCCCCTATGAGGACAGGCTGAGGGAGTTGGGCTTGTTCAGCCTGGAGAAGAGAAGCTGCGGGGTGACCTCATGGCAGCCTATCAATACCTGAAGGGAACCTACACCCAGGAGGGGAGTAAACTCTTCAGAAGGGCTGACAACAGCAGGACGAGGGGAAATGGATCCAAGTTGAAGGAGGAAAGATTTAGGTTGGATGTTAGGGGGAAGTTCTTCACAAGGAGAGTAGTTAGGCCCTGGAACGGGCTGCCCAGGGAGGTTGTGGATGCCCCGTCCTTGGACGTGTTCAAGGCCAGGTTGGACGGGGTCCTGGGCAACCTGATCTGAATGTGTATGTTTGGTGGCCCTGCTGGGCAGGGGGGTTGGAACTACATGATCCTTGAGGTCCCTTCCAACCCGGGTGATTCTGTGATTCTGTGATTCTGGGAGAGCTGTGCGGGACAGGGAGAGGAGCCCTGCGCGGCCCCAAGCAAGGGGAAATAGCTGCAAAGTGGAGCACGGGAAGTTCCGCCCGTGGACGAGAAGGGAGTTCTTCACGGTGAGGATGGCGCAGCTCTGGAACAGGCTGCCCGGGGAGGCTGTGGCTTCTCCTTGTCTGGAGATATTCCAGAACCGCCTGGACGCCCAGGGAATTTTTTTCCGCTCTCTGTGCTGCCCTCGTGTGGCCGATTTGCGGAACTGCAACCAAGTTTTTTTCCGCCGTCTCTCTGCTGCCCTCGTGTGGCCGATATGCGGAACTGCAACGAAGGTTTTTTTGCTGTCTGTGCTGCCCTCGTGTGGCCGATATGCGGAACTGCAACGAAGGTTTTTTTGCTGTCTGTGCTGCCCTCGTGTGGCCAATATGCGGAACTGCACTGAAGTGTTTTCCGCTCTCTGTGCTGCCCTCGTGTGGCCAATATGCGAAACTGCAAAGAAGTTTTTTTCGCAGTTCTTACTGCCCCCGTGTGGCCAACATGCAGAACTGCATCCAACTTTTTTTTCCGCGGTCTCTGGTGACCCCGCGTAACCAATCGGTGCCCAACAACGAGCATGTAAAAGCAGATGTGAATTTTGCACGAAAGAGTCCTGTCTGGACTTGCCTCATGCGCGCTGCAGCCAGGAGAATTGCATATGCGCTCTGCGGTGAGGAAACTGACGCATGCGCAGTGCGATGTCCAGCAAGGCGCATGTGTACTGCCTGCAGGAAGTCGATGCATGCGGGCTACACGCAGTAACCGATGCATGCGCAGTGCTGTGCCAAGAAGCCGCATACGCTGTTCGGTGCTGAGCTGGCGCATGTGTATTACCGTGCCACGGCTGGTGTGTGCGCCTGGCGTGGCAGAAACCGGCGCGTATATATAGCGCGTCACAGAGCCCGGATTTGCTCAAATGTATTGCTTTCCCGAGACATGCTCGTGTCGGTGCTGCTGCACACCGGTAACGCGACCGAGAATCTCCGAGCCGCAGTGAGCCGCTGCGAGTCGCTCCGAGCCCTTCCGAGCTGCTCCGAGCCTTTCCGAGTCGTTACGAGCCCCTCCGAGGAGTTGCAAGCCGCTCCGAGCCCCTCCGAGCAGCTCCAAGCCCGTCCGAGCCGCTCCGAGCCTCTCCGAGGAGCTCCGAGCCGCTCTGAACAGCTTTCGCGCCGCTCCGAGCTGCTCCGAGTCCTTCCAAGTAGCTCCGAGCTGCTGCGAGTCGTTCGTAGCCCTTCCGAGGAGCTCCGAGCCCCACCGTGCCGCTCCGAGCCCCTCGGAGAAGCTCCGCGCCGCTTTCGTGCGGCTCCGAGTCCTTCCGAGCAGCTCCGAGCCGCTTTTCTGCCGCTCCGAGCCACTCCGAGTCCTTTCGAGCAGCTCCGAGCCTTTCCGTGTGGTTCCGAGCCACTCCGAGGAGCTCCGAGCCGCTCCGAGCAGCTTTCGCGCTGCTGCGAGCTGCTCCGAGTCCTTCCGGGCAGCTCCGAGCCGCTGCGAGTCGTTCCGAGCCCCTCCGAGGAGCTCTGAG